CTTTCAATCTTCTGGGACTACTCCTGTTAACAATGATTGGTTAAATAAATCTGTTAATGGTTTTGCTAGTACACCACTAAGCTAAGCTCTTTTAATAACTTTGGGTGTATTCCATCAAGTTCCATTGACTTATTTGTCTTTACTTTTGACAGTTGAAATAGAACCTCTTCCTCTGTAAACTCACATGTAACAAATGGCTCGTTTGTCCTTTTTCCTAACTGAGTCCCCTTTCCTTCATTTTCATCTGTAAATACTGAACACAAATATTAATTGAGTCAGCTAGACCTTTATCCTCTTCTGCATACCTTCCTTCTTTTGTTTTTAATCTAACTAATCCTTGTTTTACTTTCCTTTTCTCATTTATGTATCTAAAAAATGTTTTGTCCCCTTTTTTTACTGACTGTGCTATTGTCCCTTCTGTATGTGATTTGGAAGCTCTTATAACTTGCTTAGCCTCTTTCTACCTAATCTTATTGATCATTCTGTCTTCCTCACTCTGGTTTTTTTATAATTACTAAATGCAAACTTTTAGTTTTTTTACTATTTTGGCCACATCTGCGGAGTACCACAGTGGTTTCTTGAATTTTTTGCTTTTACTGACAAGCCTAATGCAATTTTCTGTTGCCTTCAGCAGTGCAACTTTTAAATAATCAAATTTTTCTTGGACTCCATTTAAATTGCTCCAGTCTTATAATGACTCCTTTACACATATTCTAATTTTAGAAAAATTTTCTAAAGTCTAAATCTTTTGTTTTTGTGTGGTGTGCCCCAGTCACTGTTCTTATATTAAACCACACTGACTGATGATCACTGGATCCTAAACTTTCACCTACAGTAATATCTGATACCAAATCTCCATTTGTTAACACTAAATCTAGTATGGACTCCTTACAAGTTGGCTCCTCAAGGACTTGTTTTAGAGACAATCCCAGTAGGGAGTTTAGAATATGTGTGCTCCTGGCACAAGCAGCTATTTTGGTTTTCCAATTCACATCAGGAAGATTAAAGTCACCCATGATGATAACTTCCCCCTTCATTGTCATTTAAGCTATGTCCTCAACTAGTAGATTATCTAACTCTTCTATTTGTCCTGGGGGCCTATAAATCACACCTACACAAGTTACTGTGGGGTTACCAAATTCTAACGTAACCCAAACGGACTCTATGTTCACCTCACTAACTTTTATTAGGCTATATTTTATGCTATCCTTAACTTACAGGGCCACCCCTCCCCCTTTCTTGTCTTCTCTGTCTTTTGTATATAAAGAGTACCCTGGTATTGCTATGTCCCAGTCATTTTTCTCATTATACCATGTCTCAGTAACAGCAACTAAATCTACATTATCAGTTGCCATTATTGCCACAAGTTCATGAATCTCATTCCCTAAACTGCGAGCATTTGTAGACATAACTCTAAGCTTATCATTTTTTAACACACTTGCTACAGACACCTTCTGTCCTTGTTTTGGGGGGCAATTGGATTGATGTTTTATCACCCATTTGCCCCCCTCCTAGTTTAAATACATCCTAGTAAAACCTCTGAACTGCTCACTAAGAACTTTTGTTCTCTTTTGAGAAAGATGCAAACCATATGTTTTGTGCAGTTTATTTCCATTCCAAACAGAGATACCATGAGAAATAAAGCCAAATCCTTGCTCCCGAGACCATTCACCAAGCCACAAGTTAAAGTCCCTAATACGCATCCGCCTGTCGTTCTGAGTGTTATGCACAGGCAGAACTTCAGAGAATGACAGTGTGGAAGCAACCTGCTGTATATAATTGGCAAAAACACTAAAAACTTCCTTGACCTCTGAAACCTCATTGCAAGCCAAGTGATTTGTCCCTAGAAGGACAAGTACATCCAATTCCCCTTCTTGCTTTGCTTGCTTAACAATATTACAAATACGTCTCCTGCCTCTGTGAGCAGTAGCTCCGGGAAGACATCTCACAAAACCACCATTGTTCATCTCCATACCTCTTATGAGAGAATCCCCCAACAACAACTGCTTTCTATTAGGCCTCACCATAGTCTCCAAGCATGTCTCCACAACACTTGGTGCCTGAGCCGGTCTCCACAACACCACTACTCTCAGTGCCTGAGCCTGTCTCCATAACACCATTACACTCTGAAAGTGCAGAAAATGAAATATGTAGAGCAACAGACTGTGCAATATGCCTTTTATCCTCAACTCTAGGTCTACTAGATCCTACAGTAATCCATCTGCCATTCCTAGTATGACGGTGCAATACTTTCTAGGGTGTCTTTAATGGTTTTGTTCTAGAGTTGGACTAAGGAGCTGGGGTCTACATCCAATGGTGTCACCTCTTTTAATGAGCGGTGTTTGACCAGGTTCTGAGACTGGGGTCTGGCTGATTGTGATACAATGGAGAAGTGAATGGAGTGGTGGTCTGACCAAACAACTGGATTTACAGTTATTGGTGGCACTTCTAGTCCAGACTGGAACATTAGATCAAGTGTATGACCATTTCTGTAGGTGGAAGTGGCGACGACTTGTGTGAAGCCGAGTGCACTCATCAAGCTGAGGAGATCCCAAGCAGGGATAGGGTGTCATCAATCCAATTGTTGAAGTATCCCAATATAAGCCATCTTGGGTGTTCAAGGATTAAACCAGTCAAAGGGTCTAAGAGTTCCTGAAGAAATCTCTTCCCATCTCCTGGGGGTCTTTATATTAACAGTATCCGGAATCCTTTATCTACTGAGACGCTGGCAGCTACGCATTCAAAAGATTGGGGTTTGTGGACTGATATTGGTCTTGGATTTAAGGATGATTTGACACAGATCACAACCCCACCTCCCTTGTGATCTTGTCTCTGGCGGTGGAACACTGTGTAATTGCCTGGAATAGCTTCCTCTAGAATAGCATTTTCATCTAGCCATGATTCTGTAATGCACGCTAATTCTCATGTTTCAATAAGGTCGGCAATAATAGCTGTTTTGTTCCTTATTGATCTGGCATTGCATGGGATTGATCTGATAGGGCTGTCTTGGGATTCTAAGTTCTTGTTCTGTACTTTGGAAACAGCGTGTCTTCTAATAGGGATCACACAAAGAGGTTTCCTTCATTTGATAGTGCGGTTTTCGTGGCTTCTAGGTTGAATCACTTCAATTGGGCTTGCAGGTAGACAGAGTGGTGGAGCAGCTGTGATAGTGTCAGGAGTAGAGTTGAGCGAACCCGGACCCGAGCACGGAAATATCACTGGATGTTCGGCTTGGAGTTCAGTGTTCGGCGATTTAATGGCGCATTTGAAAGGCTGCAGGGCAGCCAATCAACAAGTGTTTGACTCGTGTGCCCTTAGAAGCCATCACAGCCATGCCTACTTATGGCATGGCTGTGATTGGCCAGTGCAGCAGGTTACCCAGGCTCTATATATAAGCTGGAGTCGCGTAGCGCCGCACGCACATGAGCTCATATTAGTGTAGGGAGAGGATGCTGCCGCTTTCAGGGACAGATTAGGAAAGAATTCTGCAAACTAGTACATTAGTGGGGTGCACTTCATATCTGAGAGTCAAATAGAAGCGTCAAATAGTGCTGTTACAGCGCAGTTGTAAAAATTCTAATTGTTTTGGTGCTAAACTGCTAAATAGTAAATTTGGGGCATGCTCTTCATATCTGAGAGTCAAATAGAACCGTCAAATATTGTGCTTACATTGCAGTTGTAAAAATTCGAATTCGTTAGGTGCTAAAAAGTCAATTTGATGCCTGCACTTCATATCTGAGAGTCAAATAGAAGCGTCAAATACTATGTTTACAGCGCACTTTGACAAATTCCCATTTTTTTGCTCCTAAGAAGTAAATTTGGGGTATGCTCTTCATATCTGAGAGTCAAATAGAACCGTCAAATACTGTGGTTACAGCGCAGTTTGACCAATTCACATTTTTTGGGGTGCTAAATAGTACATTTAAGGCCTGCACTTCATATCTGACAGTCAAATAGAACCGTCAAATACCAATATAACAATATTGTAATTCAGGGGCAATACCCTCACAAGTCAAAGAGGTCAGTTTATAGGGAAAACTGTTGCCTGGATACAATTCTAAAACAATTTCCATATGTCCTTTGCAGACTTTACATGCTGGAAAAACACAGGTGCCAACTGTGCTGTGGCTTTCTGCAGTGTGCAGACCAGCAACGAGGGCAGGGTTGAGGAGTGGGTGGAAGATGATGTGGAGGATGATGAGGTCCTAGACCCCACATGGAATCAAGGTCATGTGAGATACATGTGCAGTTTGGAGGAAGAGGCACTGGTCGCAAAGAGGCACCAGCACAGCATAAGAGGGAGCAGGGTGCAAAAGCGGAGAGGCCGTCCCCTAGCGCTCGTCGGCATGTATTATCTTTAGAATTCCCACATTTATCCAAGTAACAGATGGAGCGATAAAAATAACAGATTTAACGAGCCAATCACAGTTTGGCAGTCCGGTGACCGGGACCCAGACACTGTCTGGGCGGTGGTTGGACTACCGGGACCCAGTATGCCTGATGTTGAAGTTAGGAGTCACAGTGTGGAATGGATTAGCAGGGTCTGGTGCAGGGTAACCGCACGCCCCCTGGTGTTGAGAACCAGTGTTTGTGCGGCCACATACCAGGACCCTGATGCAGTTTCAGTAAAAAGAGTACTGGATACCAGAAGCCACCACCAGACCGATCCGCAACTTGGAACAGGATGTGACATTCAGTGTAGCGGCTGTGCACGCTTTTGGCTTTCTCACCCTGCTGCTGCTCGCATGTCTGCGCTGCAGCGTAACTTTGGCCTTCCCACTCACCGCCTCATATGCAACACACCCACAAGGTGGAACTCCACCTTGCACATGCTGAAAAGACTGTGCGAGCAGCAGCAGGCGATAGTGGAGTTTCAGCTGCAGCACGCACGGGTCAGTCGCTCTGCACCAGACTTGCCCTTCAATTGATCGGAGTTAAAGGATTTCAAGTGGACTCATTACAACTACAGGGCCTCTAAAGAGTCCTGTATTATTATTTGTCGTCACTACCTTCCCACGTCGGGAGTGGGTCATTTGCGCGACTGCTGCCTTCCTTGCATGTGGTTGCCATTTCTCAGACTCCCTCTCCAGAATCGAACCCTGATTCCCTGTTACCCGTGGTCACCATGGTAGGCGCAGTAAGAGGCATCGAAAGTGATATGGATTACCTACGAATGCGTCGTCGCCTTGTCGTTGGGGAGCCCATTGAAAAAGTGCTCTAGCATGACGAGCTGGGTGATCTCCTCCGGGAACTTGGCTTGATGGGAGTTGAGCCAGTTCTGGGTGGCCCTTGTGATGCGACATGCCCACTCCGCATAGGAGTCCTTCTGCCCTTTCCGGGTCTCCCTAAACATTCGGCAGTATTGCTTGGGGGTGACCGCATACCGGGCCAGGAGGATTTGGGTAATAAAGGGATAGTCTCTGATCTGCTCTTCTGGTACAGCCCGGTAAATATCCACTGCCTTCCCCACTAGTTTGATGGCCAGGATGTTGACCCAGTCACTGGGGTCCACGTCTTGGAGTAGGCACTGGAGCTCAAAGTCTTGTAAAAAGTCATCGATTACTTTTTCTGCTTCCTTGAACTCTTTGAAGGCATTGTATGGTAGCTTGTGGGCAGGGTGGTTGTGCTTCCCGGCGCCCTCTGCTCCCTTCTTCCTTCATCTGGGTTCATGGAGGTCGCCCTCTGTCTATTGGCAAGGACATAGGCTTGCACCTCCAAAAAGGTCCTGCAGACAATCTCCTTTGAGGGTGGCTCTCGGTAATATGCTAGGCGCCGTTACACCACCTTGCACACTTCCTCCTCATCTCCGGCCCCTGACGTGCCTGGTCATCCTTCATGAGCGCAGCAGTCAATTCGGCCTTGTTACACCCACCAGGTGTTATTCCTCTGGCCTCATACAAGTCCTGCAGTGTAGGTCGCTTTAGAGCACTGTAGTCCATGGGTCTGTTGGCAGGGACATGGGATCCCGCCGCTTGCCACCAATTGAAGTGGGACCTGGGTAACCGATGGTTATCCCCTTTGATTAGAATAGGTTAGACCCATTTCCCCAGTAACCGGATGGGACACAGTTCCAGGATACAACGTTTGACAATCTTTATTTGATGGCCCTGGGAGGAGGCAACAGGAGGCAAAGCTGTGTAGCTTTGCCTCCTGTTGCCTCCTTCCAGGGCCGCCATCAAGGGGTGACAACCATAACGGTTGTCACGGGCCTGGCGGCCCTGGGGGGCCCGGCCGCATTGGCCCCACGTGGTATAGCTCGACCGGGCCCCTTTAAAAAAAAAAAAAAAGCAGCCGCAAGTGCTGCTGGGAGGAAGTGGTTTGTATGTATGTCTGTGTATGTATGTCTGTATGTATGTGTATGTATGTATGTATGCATGCATGTATGTCTGTATGTATGCATGCATGTCTGTCTGTATGTATGTATGTCTGTATGTATGTATGTATGTCTGTATGCATGCATGTATGTCTGTATGTCTGTCTGTATGCATATATGTCTGTATGTATGTCTGTCTGTCTGTATGCATTTATGTCTATGTATGTCTGTTTGTCTGTATCTATGTATGTCTATGTATGTCTGTATGCATGTATGTCTATGTATGTCTGTCTGTAAGTCTGTGTATGTATGTATGCATGCATGTATGTCTGTATGTATGTCTGTATGTATGTATTGTATGTCTGTATGTATGTATGATAGAGTTCTAACCTCAACATATGAGGAAAGGGATTTAGGGGTGATTATTTCTGATGACTTAAAGGTAGGCAGACAATGTAATAGAGCAGCAGGAAATGCTAGCAGAATGCTTGGTTGTATAGGGAGAGGTATTAGCAGTAGAAAGAGGGAAGTGCCATTGTACAGAACACTGGTGAGACCCCACTTGGAGTACTGTACACAGTACTGGAGACCGTATCTTCAGAAGGATATTGATACCTTAGAGAGGGTTCAGAGAAGGGCTACTAAACTGGTTCATGGATTGCGGGATAAAACTTACAGGAAAGGTTAAAGGATCTTAACATGTATAGCTTGGAGGAAAGACGAGACAGGGGATATGATAGAAACATTTAAATATATAAAGGGAATCAACACAGTAAAGGAGGAGACTATATTTAAAAGAAGAAAAACTACCACAACAAGAGGACATAGTCTTAAATTAGAGGGACAAAGGTTTAAAAATAATATCAGGAAGTATTACTTTACTGAGAGGGTAGTGGATGCATGGAATAGCCTTCCAGCTGAAGTGGTAGAGGTTAACACAGTAAAGGAGTTTAAGCATGCGGATAGGCATAGGGCTATCCTAACTATAAGATAAGACTAGGGACTAATGAAAGTATTTAGAAAATTGGGCAGACTAGATGGGCCGAATGGTTCTTATCTGCCGTCACATTCTATGTTTCTATGTTTCTATGTTTCTATGTATGTCTGTATGCATGCATGTATGCCTGTATGTCTGTCTGTCTGTATGTATGTCTGTCTGTATGTATGTGTATGTATGTCTGTCTGTATGTATGTCTGCCTGTCTGTATGCATGCTTGTATGTCTATGTATGTCTGTATGTATGTCTGTCTGTATGTATGTATGTATGTGTATGTCTGTATGTATGTATGTCTTTATGTATGTCTGTGTATGTATGTCTGTCTGTATGTATGTATATGTATGTCTGCATGCATGTCTGTCTGTCTGTATGTCTGTATGTATGTGTATGCATGTCTGTCTGTATGTATGTCTGTCTGTATGTCTGTATGTATGTGTATGTCTGTATGTATGTCTGTATGTCTGTATGTATGTCTGTATGCATGTATGTATGTATGTATGTATGGCTATGTCTGTCTGTCTGTATGCATGCATGTATGTGTGTATGTCTGTATGTCTGTGTGTATGTATGTCTGTGTATGTCTATGTATGTCTGCCTGTCTGTATGCATGCTTGTATGTCTATGTATGTCTGTATGTATGTCTGTCTGTATGTATGCATGTATGTGTATGTCTGTATGTATGTATGTCTTTATGTATGTCTGTGTATGTATGTCTGTCTGTATGTATGTATATGTATGTCTGCATGCATGCATGTCTGTCTGTCTGTATGTCTGTATGTATGTATGTGTATGTATGTCTGTCTGTATGTATGTCTGTCTGTATGTCTGTATGTATGTGTATGTCTGTATGCATGTCTGTATGTCTGTATGCATGTATGTATGTATGTATGTATGGCTATGTCTGTCTGTCTGTATGCATGCATGTATGTGTGTATGTCTGTATGTCTGTGTGTATGTATGTCTGTGTATGTCTATGTATGTCTGTCTGGCTGTCTGTCTGACTGTATGCATGTATGTATGTGTATGTATGTCTGTATGCATGCATGTATGTCTATGGATGTATGTATGTATATGTATGTATATATGTATATATGTATGTCTGTATGTCATTATATATGTATATATGTATGCCTGTATGTCAGTATGAATGTATGTCTGCATATCATTATGAACATATGTCTTTGTGTATGTGTGTATGGATGTCTGTATGCATGTATGTTTGTCAGTATGTCTGTATATATGCATGTATGTCAGTCTGAATGTATGTATGTATGTCTGTATGCCATTATGAATGTATGTCTGTGTAGGTCTTTATGTCATTATGAATGTATGTGTGTATGGATGTCAGTGTCTGTATGTCTATCAGTATGTCTGTATGTATGAATGTATGTGTGTATGTATGTATGTATGTGTGTGTGTGTGTATGTCGGTGTCTGTATGTATGTATATGTCTTTATGTCCTCATGCTTGTGTGTCTGTATGTATGTTAGTATGTGTCTGTCTGTCACTATGTATGCCTGTGTGTATGTCTCAGTATGTGTGTGTCAGTATGTATGCCTGTATGCGTGTATGTCTGTTTCAGTATGTGTGTCTGTTAGTATGTGTCTGTGTCCTTTTGTATCAGTGTGTGTGTTTGTGTCTGTGTGTGTATTCCTGTGGGCGGTATTTGGAGGCGGACCCAATGGGCAGTATTTGGAGGCCCAGACCCTGAGCTGAGTTAGGTGCCCCAAAATTTCTGGTGACGGCCCTGCCTCCTCCTCCTCCTACTCAGTTTCTTCCTCCTGCTCCTCTACCGCCTCCTCATCCGCTCGGCGTAACTCCTTCACCACCAACTTCAGCACAGCCAGGGGGAAACGACAACAGGCTGTTTTCAAACTCATATGTTTGGGGGAAAAACTCCACACCGCGCAGGAGCTGTGGACGGCATGGAACAACAGACCGATGAGTGGTTGTTGCCACTGAGCCACAAGCCCGGCCTAGTGGTGTGCGATAATGGGCGAAATCTCATAGCAGCTCTGGGCCTAGCCAGTTTGACGCACATCCCTTGCCTGGCGCATGTGCTGAATTTGGTGGTGCAGAAATTCCTGAAAAACTACCCAGATATATCAAAACTGCTGCAGAAAGTGCGGGCCGTCTGTGCGCGCTTTTGGCGTTCTCACCCTGCTGCTGCTTGCCTGTCTGCGCTGCAGCGTAACTTTGGCCTTCCCGCTCACCACCTCATGAGATTGTACGAGCAGCAGCAGGCAATAGTGGAGTTTCAGCTGCAGCACGCACGGGTCAGTCGCTCTGCGGAACAGAGTTTCTTTATTTATATGTCGCAATATTTTGGGGGCTACCCCAATTAAAAAAAATATATAAAAAACAGTGTTGGCTACCTCATCCTCCACCGCTGCTTCCACCTACACCGCCACAGTCACCACCTCCTCAACCTTTGGGCCACTTAGTATAAACTATGTACACAATAGCAGAGGCTCGTGAAGGCCTTTTTTCCATGCATCAGGAGTTGAGCATTTCTCCATGCATCATGACTGCAAGAAATGCACCACGGGCCGCAAATCTTTTTTTACATGTCCCAATATTTTGGGGGCTACCCTAATTAAAATAAAAAATATATATATAAAACAGTGTTGGCTACCTCCTCCTCCTCTACTGCTGCTTCCACCTACACCGCCACGGTCACCTCAACCTATGGGTCACTTAATATAAACTATGTACACAATAGCAGAGAGGCCTTTTCTCCATGCATCAGGAGTTGAGCTCAGTTTGAACAATGAAAGAGAATACCCTGCACTCCAACCCTCTCTCAAATGGATAATTCTGGTGATCCTCCTGACAGCCATGCTTTAGATTTTGATTTATGTTCTTCCAAAGCTAAAATCAAAGATTCCATCTAGTGCTATTTTATGGCTCAGCTGTATTTTTTATTTTTATGTTATTTTAAGTGATTTCCCTATCCACATTTGTTTGCAGGGCACTTGTTCTACTCTTACCCCCATTTTAATTAA